CTTCGCATAGAATTTAAACAAATGACTTATGCCGAACGTGGTTTTAAGCTTTTCATTCCTTGAATAACCCGTCGTCCTGAAAAAATGGATTCGCGATTCAGATGGAACTCAATTTTAGCAAAAGAAAAGCACAGCGTCTAAATGACCGGCGTTTCAGTGTTTCAGTACATTCCGAGGTGAAGCTGGCCCTTCAGGAGTGGATTCCAGGTGTAACTGATTGCGTAGCACAATTTCGGCAGAGGCACACTTCCGGACAGTTACAATCAATTAACAAACTGACTTCTTCAAAGGATCCTTTGTCAAAAAAGCCAGGAAGAACATCAGTGCCCGTCATCATCAAACGTGGGTCGCTTTCTTTGTTCGGTGATGGCACATAGCTCACACATCGATCAATGGGGTCCTCACATTCGTGCTGTTTGAATGGTGCCTGCAAATGTAAACCTTCAGGAATTACAATTTCGGATACTTCACACTGTCGAAAAATTCATAACTGCAATATATTTCTAAGGAATTTGAGGCGCGATAACGCAAACATGCTGTTTATAGTGTAAAAATTCACCGCAGGGCTGTTGCTCTGCTATGCCAATCTTTGAACCAAAGAAGCAGAAGTGGATAACTTTGATACCTTCACACTTCGGCGCGTATGCGATAACCACCTCAGTATTTGACAGACGCCCTCATAATCGTTCATGACCGACGAATGCGTCACTCCATTGCGTGTCATGATTTCGGTGCCGCCTAACTGACCATTGGAGGTGTACACTTCGCGGCCCAGCAATGAATTTAACGCTGGCGCACCAGTCAAAATGATATCCGCATTTTCCACTTGGCATATACGCCTGGACAGCCGTGCCACGTACGAGCCAATGCCAACCGTTCGGCCTGTTACCAACGAATAGGTCACAACTTCGTTGTATGCTCGCGATGTTTCACCAGCAATCATTCCGGAACCAACCAAATTCTCCACACCAAGATCACGCTAAACAATTACGCATAAGGTATGAAATGTTGCTCAGCACACTTAAGCACTCACACACGCACCGTGTTCGCGCAAATGTACTTCTGAAGAGACTGTTTGAGAAGAGAGACCTCTTTGCCAATAATGCCATCAATTTGATTGAAACCATTCCTGCGGTCTGTTTTGACGATTTGCTGCAGCTCACTTATGTCATCGTCGGTGAGATAAAGTCCATCGAAGCCTTCCACGGGATTATTCTCGTTCTTCCAGATCACTTTAAAATGCCTTTTGAGCTAAAACTGAGTAGTGTTGACACAAAACAATCATAATTAGGGAATGATTCTAGGACAAACGGCACACCTAATGGTCTGCCGTAAAGCACGTGTTTTTTGCGTTGTATACATAAAAA